AACTGCATTTGTGTGACAGATTAGCTCTTTAACAGAAAACTAACTCCTTATTAAAGTGTTCTTTACTTATACCTTGGGAACAGTGATTCTTTTTCTGAAGCAGACATTGTTATCTTTTCAACCCCCTTTTTAAACTTATTATATAAAAAAGTCATGTTTTGTAACTAAAATCAGGTTTTAGTTTTCCAGTTTTTATCTAAAGATATCTTTCTATTTTAAGCTAGAAGTATGTGTATATTTCCTCTTTAGGTGATAGTAAGACATATCTATCATTTCCTCACTTTATTTTAACAGAGTTACCTCGCAGAAGTGTTAATTCACAATTCAGTATCTGCTTCTGCCAAGGGAATTATGCTACAGTGTAGATATAATGGGGTTATCAGCATATATCAAACTGGGGTCAACAGAAATTCTCCAAACTTTTTTAAACATTTAAAGTTTTTTATAATCTGAAAAAAGTATTCTGGTTCAAACCCTTCTAGGTGAACTGTTGATTTTTATAGATACTAGAAAACACAGCTCATTAATAAATTCAAGAACTTTAAACTTTTTTTTTTTAACTCAGAAATCCAACTTCTAAGAATTTACCCTAGGGATATAAGAACATCCATATATTAACAACTCTATAAGCATAACATTCATAATTATTTATAAGGTTTTAAAAAATGGAAATTAAAATTATAGGAAACAACTTAATAGTCCTATATACCAACATAAATTACTGTAATATAGAAATTAGATATTAGAAAGTATGTTTTAACTTCAGACAGAACTGCCATATGATCCAGCAATCCCACTACTGGGTATATACCCAAAGGAATGGAAATCATCATGTCAAAGAAACACCTGCACTCCCATGTTTATCACAGCTCTATTTACAGTAGCCAAGAGTTGGAACCAACCTAAATGTCCATCATCAGATGACTGGATAAGGAAAATGGGGTATATATACACAATGGAATATTACTCAGTTATAAAAAAGAATGAAATAATGCCGTTCTCAATAAAATGGATGAACTTAGAGAAAATAATAGTAAGTGAAATAAGCCAGGCACAGAAAGGGAAATACCACTTATTTATAAGTGGGAGCTAAAATAATGAACATGTAAATGAAAGAAAGAAAGATACATCATTCACAATAACGGATTGAACTTTCAAAAGAACAACTGAGGTTACTAGAGTGGGAAGAGAGTGGGGAGGGAGAAATGGGTTAAGGGCCATAGCAGTGATACTGTATATTATTGCATATATAATTATTCTGATGTGTGAGCATCACATGTTGCACACAAGTATTGATGTTCAACTCTGTACCCCAGAGATACATGCAATTAACTTTGTTATAATAAAAATAGATAAGTTAATGAATAAATAAAAACAAACAAAAAAGGGAATTATGTTTTAGGCTGTCCAGATAGCTCAGTTGGTTAGAGCATGTTACTGATAACACCAAGGTCAAGGGTTTGTATTCCCATACCTGCCAGACACACACAAAAAAAGAAAAACAGGGAATTATGTTTTAGAAGAATGTGTAATGTTATGAGAAATGTTTATGAAAACATAAGTGGAAAACAACAGAATTGTTTGTTTAATATGATTATAATTTTTCATGAATTGTGAAAAAGTGTCTAGAAGAAGAAACACTCCAAATATAAACAGTAATTATTCCTGGCTTATGAGATAATAGATTTGTTTTAATTTAACTTTTGTAATATCTAAAAGTTATATAAAAACATGTACTGTTTCTTAAAATTAAAATAATTCACTTACCATAATATTTCTACTATGTATACTCCTATTTTTAAGTACTTTAAGTCATTTTAAATCATCTAAATAATACAAGAATACGTTTATCTTATTAAATAAAATGCGAAACTCACAGTAAGGTTTTCACCACCAATTTCAATCTTGCTTCCCTCTCGCCAGATTGGGTTTACAGCAAGTAGTCTGAGGCATGTATTTCCAGACTTCTTTGGGGCATGTAACATGTATTTTTCTGTACTTAGAAATGGGTCATTCTTATATGTCATTTTGAAACTCATCTGTTTTGCTTAAGACTATCTCATGGTCAGCTATCCATGCAGAACAGAGAGAATAACCTCAGCATTTCTAAACTTGAGTATGCTGTTATGGTTTATGCAGTTATTTCCTCATGAAGTATATTTAATTATCTATTTTTCTAATTGTAAAACTCTTTCTGTAGTCTTAATGAATTTTCAGCGATGTGACCTTTCAAAAGGATTAGAAAATATTGTACATAAAGCTACATCAAGCAGTAAAAAAATAACTTGTTAGTAACATAGGGGTTTAATTTTTCTTTAACAAGCAGTCCATGAAGACTAACCAAACCGTAACCTTCTCTGACCCTTAAGGCACATGAAGACCCCATGTATAACATCATTCGAGAGGATAAAAGACATGAAAAGGATATAAGGTGAGGTCATCCTGATGATAACAATATCCTCTTACAGATTAAAATTATATAAAGTTAGAAACAACCATTCAAATATTAAGGGGACGGTTTAGCAAACATGGTACTTAGATTGTGAGGTGTTTGGAGGGCAGGAGTCACGGCTCGGCCAGTGCTGGGGAATGGGCAGGCCTCCTGCTTTCTGCTTGGGTCAGCAGGACACAGTGGGCTCGGTCAGCCACTCACGCCACTGCGGTTGGTGTTGGCCGTGCACGTGGAGTCTGCTGTACTTGTGCTGTATGATGGACTCTTGCACATGATTTAGTTTGTCTTCTCCAGTGTCTTTAAGAGATCTGAGCTTTTGTTTAAAATTATTCTTAGACATGATTAAAGAGAGGGTGAAAAAACAGGAGACTTTTTTTTCCAAATTGGTTGCACTGAATTATAATTGTTGAGGGAGGAGATTATCTCCTGTGAAATTGAGCAGTGAGTGAATGGCTTAGTAAAGTGTGCATCTGTTAGAAGTTACAATAGTAAGGGCTGGGGGAACGTGGGAAGTGTGCAGGACAGTGAAAAGAATACAGCGTGGCTTCTACATTGGCTACAGTCACATAAAATAGACATTCATGTGGACTAGAACGGGGAAAACATAAAAACAAAAATAAGTACTGACTTTAGTGAAGTGGTTGTTTGTGACCACGCCCCATACTGCTGATAAATCATATATTAACCTCAGAAAACTGTTTGAAGTTAAAGTTAAAAACCACAGTTCTTTGATCAATCTTCCGCGTTTAGGATACAGCAGTTAAAACAGTTACTGGAGGATTCCACGTCCGATGGAGACGGGAGCAGCTCCAGTTCCTCAGAATGTAAAGAGAAGCACAAGAAAAAGAAGAAGAAAAGCATAAGAAAAGGAAGAAGGAAAAGAAAAAGAAGAAAAAACGGAAGCACAAGTCTCCCATGTCACGTGAGAGTTCCGACCTAGAGTGACAAGGACTTGACGTGTTCAGCAGTGTCTTCTCAGAAATCACACACGGTGGCCGGAGCCCAGAGGAAGATGCAGGCAGAGCGGAACAGACGGAGACACCCAGAGGAGGGTGTTTGTTGTCGCAGCTGTGACTTCTCACCCACCCGCAGGACAGGGGCCAGTGTCCTCCCAGGTGCCAGCTCTGGACTGTGGCCAATTTCAGGCAGGAAATTTACTGGGCGTCCTCCTCCCTGCTGGTCGCTTGAGTTTGTCATTGCTGTAAGATGCCGCCTGCGCGGTGGTAGGACGAGGAGGGCATCTCTGGGGAAGCTCTTGCAGGCACTGCCACAGCTTCTGCCCGCCATAGTGGGTGACTTAGTTCCCACAGACCTCAGGCTTGACTCTTCTCCGTTGTTGAGGATAATAAAAGCTCATTATCTATATTTGCAATGTATATTTTACATGCAATTATGAATGACACATGCATGTGGTCCAAATTTAAAATCATGAAAACACTTCATTCCTTTCTACCCGTTCCCTT